TTATGTCGGGTAAGTCCGGCCGAGTACCTTCTCGTACTCGTGGTTTTATTCCCACTTGTTGCGAGATGGGCGAGATGTATTACGGCTATTGTATCAACTGCCTCTATCCTGCGATGGGTGATGCTTAGGACCATGGGCATGGTCATTCCTTACGTCTCATCTAATGCTTTTGTTGGAGATGATCATTCGCTGGCACTATATTTAAACTCCGCGTGAGTGTGTGTGGTTTGAACAAATGACTTCCGCTACTTTTATTCGAACTGGTTTGTAATAACTATGTTTAAACTCTGATGTATCTGAGATTGCGAACTTTTATGTAATATGTGATGGTGACCGCTAAACTTATTACGATCATGGCTGGGACACGAGTTGGTTTGAAATCCTTTGCGATTTCACGGACTACCGGGTTATACGGGCTTAAGTTTGCTCGATCGTCTGCTCTGGTGGATGATTTTCTTACTTAATCTCGTATAATTGGTCGGTTCTGTTACACACGCGAGCGAGCGCATGCAAACGACCCGGCCTCCGCACAGTGCCATGCAAAATGGCCACGAACAAAAAAAGGCGCCTGCGGTGGGATTCGAAACGTGGACCACAGCTTCAGCCCGCCGAGGGCTAGCCACTCGAGATAAGTAAGATTCTTGTATAGAACACATCCATCTTGCTATTTAATAGGGGCAAGGGTGGAAAGATAACCCATAATTAATCACTTCTGAGATACCACAATCATGTCCTAAACGTCAAGTTTTTGGTAGGGAGGGAGCACAGAGGGAGTGGCTTTCCAAATAAAAATTTACAAGTTCCCACGTCATTTAGCTCAGCACTGGGAATCTTTTTTGGACCTGACGGAGTAACAGTAAACATTTAGCTCAGCCCGTCGGCAGGGCATCTTGATTTTTTTATTCTCGGGTGCAGGGCATCTTGATTGATTGTTGTATCATGCTCCCTTCGCCGAATAAATCAATTTTTTAAAATTCGTGTCGGTCAAACTTTTTTAATTTTATTGAAAAAAATAATATCTATGAAATAAAATAAACACCTTATGAAAATATATGTGTTGATAAATCTAATGATACTAATTTGACATCATAAATCTTCGTCCTGTTCGTTTGGGCTTGTTTGACTGATAAGCTATGACTGAAAGTACTGTTGGCTGATTTGATGTGAGAGAAAAGTACTGTTCGTTGGCTGAAAAAGTACGGCTTATAAGCACAATAAATCTAAACGAACATGGTGCTTAACTTTTTTTTTTTAGAAATTCGGCGTCGCCATTGATGTCGAGGATGGCAGGCAGCCAGCGCACGAGGGTCTTGTGGTGCTTCTCCCTGCCCTCCATCACGTTGTACTGGTCCAGGAGTGAGCTGGACATACACCTTCTCCTTCAGCAGGGACACCAGCGGGGCGACCACCAGGCTGGCCGCTAGTTCAGCCATTGGAGCGAGCGCTCAGCAGAGTTGTTGAGAACACACAATGGTAGGGTGTGGACAAGCTGAGAGCTCTCTCTGGTAACTCGTACTCCTACGTAGTTAAAGCATGAGAAACCTCCTTTCGACGATTCCCTCTCGAAAAGAACGTGCACTTAACCACTCGGAATTATTGCTTCCAAATGGTTTGGTAGCACGTCGCTCTCTCGTGCTCGTCCGGTCGCGTCGACGTCGGCAATAATGGAGGGCCAGGGGGACAAGGTCACATGGCCGGCAGCCAGCCACCCTTGACTGACTGCTATCGACACAAAAATCTCTTAGGAGTCGCGTATGCCACGCTGCCAGCGATTTTCATTGATGGCCAAGGGACTGTCGCGTGGGCTCGATCACCCCAAGCCCTCGTTTAGTTTCTCAAATTCTCAACTTTGGCACTGTGTAAAAAGAAGATTTTTCATTATATCAAATTTGCGGTACATGTATGGAGTACTAAATATAAATGAAATTAAAAACTAATTGAACAGTTTGATTGAACTTTGCGAGACGAATCTTTTGAGCCTAATTAGTTAATGTTTGGACAATAATTCACAAATACAAACGAAATTGCTACAGTATTTACCGTCCCAACAAATACTGCGCAAGTCCCCAAAACCACCGTATGAGTCGCTCCTCATGTTCTATTTTTATTCTTATTACTACTACGATCATATGCGCTGGGAATCCTCGGCCCCAAGCGTCTGCAGCTGCTCCAGGACGAGTACAAGCTCCAGAAGGGCGTGAGGAAGAAGGTGCAGTGGCTCCACAGTGAGCTGGAGGGCATCCACACCTTCCTCTGCAAGGTCTCTGAGGCTATCCGCACCGCGACCTGCAAACGGCCCGGCACCGCACGTCTACAAAACAGCCGGCAGCGTACCGGCCGTACAGTACAGCGCTACTCTCAGCGCGCGTGCAGCACGCACGCTATACACTGTAGCGTAGAGAGAGAGAGAGTTGGTGAGAGAGAAAGGGGGAGAGAGGAGAATAAAATATGGAATAGTGAGTATAGAGTATGGGATAGAGATAACACGGGTACGGAAGAAATAGGTATAGAGTAGAGAATCTCGATGACTAGAATGAGTGCGGATAACCTGATGCGCCATAGGACCGGCTCGACGAGCAGGTGAAGGTGTGGGCACGCGAGGTCAGGGAGGCATCTTACCACGTGGAGCATGTCCTCGACACTTTCCTTGCGCGCGTCGATGCCGCCGACCCCAGCAGGCTGAAACGCGCCATGAAGAAGATGGGTAAAGTGTTCGGCAAGGCCAAGGCTCGTCGCAATATAGCTGGTGCCATCGAAGACATCAAGAAGCATCTCGAGGAGGTAGCCGAAAGGCGTCAGAAGTACATACTTGATGACATTATGTGCAAGCCACTCGCAACAACGTCAACTATTGATCCTCGCCTTAAAGCTATGTACAAACAAGTGACGCAACTTTTTGGCGTCGACAAGTCAAGGGATGAGCTCGTATCCATGCTGACGACGTTGCAACCAGATGATGGTACCTCGAACCAGGACATGAAGAAGGTTTCTATTGTTGGAGTTGGAGGATTAGGAAAATCCACCCATGCCAAGGCGGTGTATGAGAAGCTTAAGTCACATTATGACTGCGGGGCTTTCATTTCAATTGGTCGGGATTATGACTTGGTAAAAGTTTTCATGGATATTCTCTTTCATCTTGACGGTGAAAAGCATATAAGGACATTCACAACACTGGAAGAGGCCTCGAGCTCCTCATTCACCAACTTCGAGAATTCCTGAAGAAAAAGAGGTAACACAGACACTCAATTATAAATTGTAATTAGCCAGTGCCTTTTAAGATATTGCTCCACAGTTACTCGATGCTACACTATGTTGTAGGTTATACTAAAAATGTTATCTCCGTATCATTTATGCCAGACTACTTCTTGAGATTGATTTTCTCCACTCCATGCATACAAGAAATGCATTTATCCAGTAGTCTCTACCTAACAGCTTCTAGCTCATTTTTTAAGTGTGTTGCTTTTAGACTACTATAAAAGGGCAATGCATTTAGCACTTCTAAACATCATAATTTAAGTAAATTCGTAAACATTTCCAATTATGAATCGAGCTTAGATTTTGAAAACGTGTTTCATATCTGAAACTATAAATCTTAGGAAAAACACTTTCTGAGAACCATCCAGATGACATTTCTGAGAAAATTCTAAAGAAATGTGCTGGTATACCATTAGCAATCATCATAATGGCTAGTTTGTTGGCTGGTAAACCAGAGTGTGAATGGTCAATATGATTCGTAAGCTTGCATTTGAAGAAAACTTTATTGCTCTATTAGGTGATAATATTGAAGCAACAGCTGGACGAAGCAGCAACGTTCCCTGGCATGGGCGCGGCCACCCGGCCGCTGCAAGCGCACGCGGGCTTTTAGTTGGCGCGGGACGCGGGCACGGTCCCGTCGGCTATGAGCCAGGCGTGGGTGCGACCTAGGCTAGAGCAATCTGTTTACGGATGAGAATTGGGTGACATGGTTAAGCTAATGACGATTATTAGGTATAAAAAATAGTATTTTAATATATTTGGTTAAACTTGAAATTGTTTCACGTATCAAAATATGAGACCTGCACTTCTTTCAGCTGGAGAAAGTGCATACTAAAGTTACTGACAGCGTGCAGTGGCTGCTCATTCAAGTACATAAATGCTGCGGACCACAAGTTGCTGTGCAGGGCTTAATATTGTTGGCAGTGCTGACGATGACAGAAACTTCGATTTGTGAATGTGTGATGAGTAAAGATGTCAACGGGCCCGTTCCCCGATTCCCCGCGGGGAATTCACCCATTAGGGAACAGGGATGGTACAAATTTTCTCTCCATGGGGAATTAAATGGGGAAAAAATCATCCCCATCGGGGATGACCGGGACGGGGACGGTATGCATGCCCCCGTCCCCGTTCACCGTGGGGACCCGAAATGCGACTGCTGCTTAAGCTAGCTGTCTGCTCAACGCGTAGCTGGGCCGGCCCGTCGTAGCCGCAGAGCTAGGCCAGTGGCTTGCGTGACGTGGGGGCGCAGCTGATGCGCGTGGCCCGACCATCAGCCGAGCCAAGCCGTCGCTTCTGCCTCCTGCTCCTCAGTCCTCACTCGTCACTTGCCCTCTCCCTCGCTGACGCTAGCTCTCCCACTCTCTCCCTCTCCCATGCGCCCCAAACCCTAGCTTGCCGCCCGCCCACGGCCCACCCGCCGGTCATGTGTGCCTCCGCCTACGCCTCCGCCCGCAGATCCGCCGCAGGCCCCGACCCATGGCCGGAGGAGCTCGCTACGCCTCGGGATTGGGAAAGACAGCACGCCGCCACCAGATCCAGAGGGAGGAGGGCCGTGCCGCTTCCGCCACGAGCCACCAAATCTCCTGCCTCGGATCAGGAGGGAGGAGGGCCACCTCCACCGGATCCCCGCCTCGGGTTCGCGCTGGAGGGAGAAGGAGAGGGGATGCCGCCGGGAGGGGAAGGGGAGAGGGCGGCGGGATGGGGAGGAGGCACCGCTGGGAGGGGAAGGGGAGAGGGGCGTCGGGATGGGGAAGCGATGGCGAGCGGAGGATGCCTGGCTTGGGAGGGTCAGTCTAGGGCGTCGCTCAGTGTGGAGAGGGGTGCTCGGCGTGGCTGAGGGAGAGGGCAGCCGCCGCCGCCGTGGGAGGCGGGACCTCCAGGCTGATGCGGGGATGAGGATCCCCGTGGGGATTAAATCCCCGAGCGGGGACAGGGATGGGAAAGAAGTGCTCCCCGTGAGCCTTCACGGGGACGGGGACGGGGACGGGGACGAGAGAAATTTGCCTCTACGGGGGCGGGGATGGGGCAGTAACCCCGACGGTGAATTTTCCGTTGACATTTCGAGTGGTGCATTCACGGGACTGACAGCGCGCAGTGGCTGCTCATTCAAGTACATAAATGCTGCGGAACACAAGTTGCAGTGCAGGGCTTAATATTGTTGGCATAGTGCTGACGATGATAGAAACTTGGATGTGTGAATGTGTGATGAGCATTCACGGGACTCAATTTATTCAGTCTGATGGTGAAGTCTCCTCCTAAACAGTGTTTCTATCTGACTTAATTGGCTTGCGTGTGAACGAGATCCACTGCGATGGATCAGCATGAGAAAAGCGTATAAACGCACATACTATGCCCAGCATGCCACTGCAGGCCAGGGGTAGAGGACAGGGGCAGAGGTCCGCGCAGGCCAGCAAGTCAAGTCGTCGGCCCCCACTCACGGCGGAGCAGCATATGTGCGTGAAACGGCGTAAGGCGGCGTTGGATCCAGCGACTAAGGTTCAGGAGTTGGGTCGACATGATGTTGCATACGTATTTAGATATTAATAAAAAAACAAATTACATAATCCATCAGTATTCCACGAGACGATTTTTTTAAGCCTAATTAATCCATCGTTAGCACATGTTTATTGTAGCATCATGTTGTCAAATTATGAACTAATTAGGTTGAAAAGATTCGTCTCGCAAATTTGTCACAAACTATGTAATTAGTTTATATTTAATACTTAATGCATGTGTCAAATATTTAATAGGACCCCAACTAAAATTTAGAAGGAACAACTAAACACCGCTAAGTCGTAGACCCCACGTGGACGCATGTGCTACCAGCGTAGGTATCGAGGCCCATCGAATGGATGGCTGCCTGCCATAGCCCTCCGTCTGCCTGGTTGCTTCCGGGTTAATTTTGCAGCTACTTCATGCCTCCAACTAGACGCCTTGTCACCACCAACCATCAGACTTATGAATCCACTACACTCAGATCTGAAACAAGCAAGGGTAGAAGCATGAGTGTGGTGACCGGGGCGCTGGGAAGCCTCGCCCCCAAGCTTGCGAAGCTGCTCCATGACGAGTATAAGCTCCAGAAGGGCGTGAAGGAGCAAGTGAAGTCGCTCTCCCGCGAGTTGGACAGCATCTACGCTTTCCTCCACAAGGTCTCGGATGTGCCATGGGACCAGCTCGACGAGCAGGTCAAGTTGTGGGCGCGCGAGGTCAGGGAGGCATCCTACGACATGGAGGATGTCCTCGACACCTTCCTCGTTCGCGTCGACGGCGTAAAGAACTCCGACTCCAGCAGCCTCATGACGAAGCTGGGTGAGCTGTTCAGCAAGGCCAAGGCTCGCCGTGATATTGCAGCAAAGATCATGGACATAACAAAGCATCTCGAGGAGGTGGCCAACAATCGTCAGAAGTACAAACTTGATGAGATTATGTGCAAGCCACTCGCAGCAACGTCAACTATTGATCCTCGCCTTAAAGCTATGTAGAAAGAAGTGACACAACTTATTGGCGTCGACAAGTCAAGCGACGAGCTCATGTTTATGTTGAATACATCCCAACAGGATCATGATGCCTCCAATAAGAAGATGAAGATGGTTTCAGTTGTGGGAGTTGGAGGATTGGGTAAAACCACTCTTGCCAAAGCGGTGTATGACAAGCTTAAACCACAATACGACTGCGGGGCTTTCATTTCAATTGGTCGGGATCATGACTTGGTAAAAGTTTTCAAGGATATTCTCTTTCATCTTGATAGTGAAAACCATAAGGACATTCACAACACTGAGAGAGGCGTCGAGCTCCTCATTCACCAACTCCGAGAATTCCTGAAGGAAAAGAGGTAACACAGACATCCAATTGTAAATTGTATTTAGCTTGTGCTTTTAAGATATTGCTCCTCAGTTAGTCGATGCTACACTATGTCGTATGTTATCCTAAAAATGCTATCTCCACATCATTTATGCGAGACTACTTGAGATTGATTTTCTCCACTCCATGCCCTGAGTGCTCTTTTTTTAAGTATGCAGCTTTTAGACTACTTCACTAGCTATGAAAAGGACAATGCATTTAGCACTTCTAAGCATCATAGTTTAATTAAGTAAATTCATAAACATTTTTACGAGCTTAGATTTTGAAAACGTGTTCCTTCTGAAACTATAAATTATAGGAAAAACAACGTTTTAGGGTTGCCTATGTTTGCAACATGGCCATAGATGAGTAAGTTCTGTGTAATAAAGTGTCCTTAAATAGGAAGTTTTCTTCAAATAGGCCACTTGGTGTGTAGTTTCTATAAATACCACTACTAGAATCCCGAATTACCTTGGGTGCTAAAAAAACACAAAGGAAAATACTAGAACCGCAAAGGAAATTATCATTGACCATTAACCATCGCAACTTCCGTCATGTGTTTTATTTTTACTAACGCGGCCTTGTGTTTTATGTGTCGTCCTGACTTCCTTTAATCTTAGCAAATCTCTTGCTTCTGCAGAAGCTCCAGACTTTATTAACCAATGGTTCTTCCACTTTGGTGTGGATAGGTATTTTATTGTTATTGATGATGTATGGGAGGTACGCACCTGGGAAGCAATCGAACTCGCACTTGTTGAGAATAATCGTGGAAGTAAAGTAATCACAACTACTCGAAATGTTGATGTTGCCAAAGCATCTGGTGAGGTTTACAAGCTGAAACAACTTTCCTATGATGACTCCATGAAATTATTTTATACAAGGTTATCCAGAGCAGACCGAAAGTTCGTTGATAACCATCCAGATGACATTTCTGAGAAAATTCTAAAGAAATGTGCTGGTATACCGTTAGCAATCATCACAATGGCTAGTTTGTTGGCTGGTAAACCAGAATGCGAATGGTCAATGGTCTACAACTCTATTGGTTTTCATACTACAGATAACAGGGAAGCTGAAGATACTATGACAATACTTTCATTTAGCTACTATGATCTGCCTCCACATTTGAGGACATGCTTACTATATCTAAGTACATATCCAGAAGATTATGAGATCGAAAAGGATTCTTTGATATGGAAGTGGATAGCTGAAGGATTTATTGATGGGAAACAGGGAACAAGATTATTTGAGCTTGGAGAAAGATACTTCAATGATCTCATTAATAGAAGCTTGATCCAGCCAGTGGAGAATGAGTGGAATGGCAGAGTAGAAAGCTGTCGTGTTCATGATATGGTTCTTGATCTAATGCGTAAGCTTTCATCTGATGAAAACTTTATTGCTATATTAGGTGATAATGTTGAAGCAACACCTGCACCAAGCAGTGTCCGTCGGTTAGCCAACCAAAACAGAATAGCTGAGCACATTAATTCTGAATCAATGGTTACTGGGATGCCAAAAGTGAGGTCATATACCGCATTCAAGTGTTTTATTGATAGCCGAGACCAGTTTTTGAGATTTAAACTTTTGCGCATGTTGGACATAGTAGACTGCAGCGTTGAGAAAGGTTGCCACCTTAAGCATCTTGGTGATTTACTTCACTTGAGGTACCTTAGGATAAGATTCAACGGTAGTTCCCCTGAGCTCCCCATACAACTAGGGAATCTAAAGTTACTGCAAACACTCGATGTGCAGGGAACATTACAGCAAACACTCGATGTGCAGGGAACATTGCCAGCAAGCATTGTGCACCTAACAGAGCTGGTCCGGCTATGTGCTGACAAAAAGGTACCGGTTGGGATTGGGAAGCTGGTTTCCCTGGAGGAGCTAAGAATATTTATTGGTTGCAGAGATAAGCCCAAGAGATTTTTCAAGGAGCTTGCCAGCCTGCGAGAACTGAGGCTGCTTAAATTTAGCACTTATGATGGGGCGGACGAGAGCATGCAGAGAGATTTTGTGGAGTCTCTAAGCAATATGCAAAAGATTGAGTATATAATTGTGTACGATTCACCTTGGCTTGCGGATACAGCCATGTGGGAAGCAGCAGGCTTTGTGCTCCCACGACCTCTCCATTATTTGGGATGGCATGCAATTAGATTGTCCAAATTGCCGTCATGCATTAATCCCAAAAGTCTTCCCAACCTGGCCCACTTGGAGCTGTTTGTGACTACTATGGATGAGCAGGATCTGAAACTCCTTGCTAGGTTGCCGGCGCTCTGTTATCTCGACCTGATAACAAAGTCCACCGTAACAGCAAGCAATATTAACTCCAGTGATGGCTGCTTCTTCCAGAAGTTGACGCACTTTGCGACCAATGCAATGGTCCTGTTTGAGCAGCCCGACGAGGAGGACACTAGCGTTTCATTGCATATGTGGAATGGAGAGGATGCTATGCCCTTTGCCTCTAGAAAAAAACAATGACTCCAGAAAAGTTATACCCTCTGACGTGATGCCAAATCTTGAAGTGCTACATTTTAATTTCTATTTGCATTGGCACGGTGGCTACCGTAGGAATATTGGCTTGGAGTACCTGCCTTCCCTTCGGGCACTCAGAGGGCAGATCGTATGTGAAGACATGCCTGTTGCGGAGAGCGATGCTGCTTTGGCTGCACTGAGAGACGCATGCAACGCCCATCCTAACCATCCCACGTTTGATATGCCTATATCATATTATCACGGTTTTTTCGCTTGATCAAATCAGCTATGCTTATCATCCATGATACGGTGTTTTTGTCTCACAACAAAACAGCATCAGGTACGACAAAAATTTTGTAGTTCCGATCAAATTAATATCTCATTATTTGTTTCTATCTGGTTACAGTTCTGTTTCTATTTTGGCATATATTATATACATACAGCACTTGCTTGTCTCTACTCAATTAATTATTAGCTTTATCCGAATTTTCAGCTGGAAGACGATAATAATGTGTCCTAAAGAGATACGAATTTGAATCTGCATGCCTACAGTGTATGTAAGTACTCTCTCCACCCTGTTCTGTTGTATCCTAGCTGATGGTGTCACTGTTGCTGCTCGTGCGTGTCAGCCATTTGAGTGCTTCTGAGTTTTTGGGAGTTCACGGATTTTGAAATTAGGTTAACCTAATTTCCGTCAAACAAATAACTTTATGATTCCCGAGTCCTTACTACATAGAATGGACCGTCGCATTTCCAATAAGCAAATGCATGCATGCCGACATCTATGTTGATGTATGAATTACATTTTTGTTTCGTAAGGGCGAGTTCTAATAAGCAAATAACTTTATGCCGACATGTATGCATGAAACTACCAAACGTATTTAAGCAGATACCGATTTTTCATTGAATCCGTTATACAGCGGACGTAGGTATAGTCACTGGACCGTTCCTAGTGCCTGCACCAACTCTGTTTCTGGCCATCAGTGGATACTCTGTTTTCCACTGTCCACCTGTGAGTCTGTGACACGTCCTTCTATGATTATTTACTACGAAATAAGGACTTTTGTCATCGGATAATTTATGGTTGTAAGCGCAATATGTCAGAACATTAAGTAGAATTATTGACGAACTTGCTTTCTCTCGTAGATTAGTTTTCCTGATCCAAGTTTCTGCTTGAACCGTAATATGTACAGAAGATTAGCTCAAATGGTGTCTGTCGGCTTCAATGCTTCAGAGTCCACGTCAGCCCATCGACACAAGTTCACTCGACTGCGAGCCAAACTGTGCCGGCTCTTATGTTCACCAGATCTATTTTCTATTCGAATAAATATGCTCTATCAAAGTTTCAGTGTACTCCGCTGCTATATTAGAACCTGCTGCAATATTTTTCTCCATGCTGAACTGCTGGCTTATATTATTAGTTTAGTTTCTCGACCTTTTTTGTGGTTCGTACATTCTAATAAGCTTGGAACGTATTTATGTTGCGCGAAAATTTGAGGAGGCTTTATGTGTTGCTTGCATTGCCTCATTGTGCCTTTTTGCATTGCCGCTGTCCGGTTTCCACACGACGCATTTGCCCGCTGGGATGCTGGATCCAGGCATATGGAACAAGAGAATCCTGCCATGGAGCCGGCAGACCAGGTAGAGGTCTCTAGAGTCTAGACTCGGCACGATCCAAAAAATTTAGCTGCGTCATGGCCATGGCTAAGCACCTAAGCCTACCAGAGCCGCGCCGCAGATTAATTAGCCGCGGAGACGAGACACGGAGGTGGATAACAGCCGTTCCGTTGGTATGGGTCTTCATCCCGTGGGCCTACAGTTCAGTAACAAATGTAATTGCTGGCCTATGGGCCACGTCGCCCCGTGGCGAGAACAGCAGGCCAATGGGTATGTGCGATATATACTCATTGCTCAAAAAAATAAAAAGACGTGTGATATATACTCACTATATAATAAGTAGGATGCTGCTAATCATCTACAGATCTTCTATATAACACACAAGAGAAATTGAAGTGGACTGGAGAAGGAGTCAAGCTGAAAACTTACAAGTACTGTTTTTCCGGGTGTTAGAGTGGTTATTCCTAAGTCACAACTTAAATAAAAAGGGTTTGCTCAGTCTCAATTACAGAGCATATTCCATATATAGTTTAAACTGGATGGAAATAGTACTTTCTCCGAAAATATGTGGTGGAAAGCAAAAATACACAAAGTCCAAACCGGTGTCAGGAAAAGGCAACCCATCATCTACGTACATTCATTTGGGGTCTCATCTCTTGATCTCAAGTCTATTGAGCATTTGTTTTTTGGGCTGCTGCCAACTCTTTGTCGCCGTTTAGAATGTCAAGAACCTCCGTCATGGTGGACAGTCTGCTGGATTCTAGAAGGCCATCTCGCAAGCCTCCCTTCTATCGATCTCCTCGGCCACAACCCGAGTCGAGAGTTCATTCGATGGAGGAGGGAACCCATAGGCATCTTCACCATTCTCTTCCTTAATGGTAAATCTTGGAGTCCTAACGTAGAACCAGTAGCGGTACCAATCGTTGCTCCAGCGATTACGCTGAGCATAAGCAATCAAATACCTTTTCCAGGCCTTTCGAAAGTCCGCTTGGGCATAAAAGGGTACAAATGGCAAACTGCTCCTCCTTCGTCAAGCCCTTGACCGTGATCCGCTTCAGGTGATTATTTGAAGCTCATAATCTTGTAAAAAGCAGTCAATATCAGCATCCGACATTGAAGGTGAGGCTTGCCCAATAGAACTTTGCCAAAGCCAAAATCCCATTTGGAGTCAACTGATGCAGTTGCATAGAGAAGGCCTCCAGCACATCCTTCACAAACCTTACCCATGGCAAGCGCAGGGCCACAATAAAGAAAGTCACGTAGGCACAGACTCACCCTTCGGAGCTGTAGCCCGGCCTTCGGCAAACCATCCAAACTCAGCTTACTTCTTCACATCCACCTCAAAGGTGAGCGAAGGACCAAACTCGAAAGCCTTCGCATATTCAACCTTGCCTTAGCCAGTCTTGCTACCGCCTTTGATTAGATCCTTAGGGATGGCCTCAACATCGCTCAAAGCTCTTCCAAATGTTGAGCCCTCGCACTCGCCATCAAGGATTGCTCGAAATACAAATTCCACTCGTGAACCTTCACGTTAGAAAGCCTAGACCAAGGACCACAGCCACAAAATGTAGCCACTTCCAACAAACGCGATGAAGGATCTCTAAAAACAAAGGCAGAAACAAAAAAGGTGGATCTTTAACCGCAGGGAATGCGATAGGGGGTGCCTCCGATCTACCACCCAAATACCTTTAAACAGTACCCCAACTAACGGTCCAACTTCCACCTTGTCACGGTCAAACTCCTGTCCATTTGTTTCATCAGTAAAACATTAAGGAAACCAACCACTTCAAAAGTGAACGCGGCGCAAGTCTGACACAAGAGAGCCCGGTGAGGGAGGTGCTAAGAGAACCCTCGGACTCGAAGGCAAGCGTCAAGATTGGAGGATCAGGCTCACATATGTCAAACCTCACCCTCGAAGAAGGAACTGTTGGGGAGCGAAGCCTCCGGCCTAAGGGTTTGCTAACCACGGCTAACAAACGCCATGCAGGTGTCGTGAATCCAGGAGCGCTGACGAAGGCAAGATGGTCCTTCGATGAGTACCTGCATGAGTCGAGCCACAGGCCGGTGGCGAAGGCAAGGAGAACCTTCAGTGGGGACCCACGTGAGACGAGCGGCAAGCTAACGGCGAAGGCAAGGCGGACCTTCGGCAAAGGATCCGTGCAAGCCAAAGCGGCGGAGTGACAGATGAAGGCTAGGTGAGTCTACAGCAAAGACTTCCAGGGCGAGCCTTCGTGTTGAAATCCCGAGGATCCCAAGCAGCCTCGCGAGAAACCAGTAGGCTAAGCCCATCTTCATTTCTTCTAGAGACAATAGGCAACAGTCCGTAATTCTTTGGAGAAGGAAGCCCTTGTAGTGAGAGGCCCATAAATCGGGCTCGACTACTTGATGGTCCGAGGGTTTTGACTCGACAAGGGCCCAATAGAGAAGGTTGTTGTGTATGTAAATGTTCGCGTGCCCTTAAACCCGGCTTGATCCGCTTCTTTTTCATCCGGAACAGTGTTTTTCTCTCACAAATTCCTCCGGCATTCCTCCAAACCATCCAAATTCCTCCAAAATTCCTCTCCGCCGAACACCCCCTGTTGTCTTTGCATGCATTGATTTTTTACTAATGTCCTTTAATTTTTTTCTTTTAATTTATTTCGTTTTACTTGTTCTCTATTCACTACTACAGGAATCAATTTGCGCAGCGTGGCCAAAATGGGCTCCGTGGCGGGCACCTCTTTTGCCCGCCACGGTTAACCGGTGGCCGGCCACCGAGGCCAGCCACAGAGGCGCCCGCTGTGGGAAAAGGGTTTACCGCGGTGGGCCACCTTACTTGCCCGCCGCAGGAAATCGTTATTTACCGCGGCGAGCGGTATAAATCTCCCGCCGCGGTAAAGCCTGTACAAATACACAGCACCACACCTTCATCTTCTCCACGGGTCTTCCTCTCTCAAACTCATGGGGGGAGGCTTTGCCCTAAAATTTGAGGAAACTTTTGATTTGAGTTGAAGGGCTTGGATTTGAGAGAGGAGGACATCATAAGAGGTTCATAAAGGCTCTCCCTCTCTCCTTCCATCCTCTCTCTCTATTTCCATCACCTAGAGTTCTCTCTAGATCTAGATCTAGATCAATTTTAATGAAAAAAATGATGTCATGTATTTCTTTAACTTTAGATTCATCATAGATGCATGCTTCATCTTTCACATCGTCATTTCCTCTCTTTTTCAAGATTTTGGACGTAAAAATCATCAATTTCTCCTAATTCTTCTTTATTTGTTGATTGTGACGGATAATGTTCGCAGGTATGATGGATAGGTCGGAATGGATGTACCGGATCGATAGAGTGAATGATCCATGGTACCTCTTTGAATTAAGAAAGTTTATTGCTGCTGGTAAAGCTCACCGTG